ACAATTAAAATAAAAGTGGACCCAAAATAGAGCCCTGTGGGACCACTGCAGATAAGGAAATTACCCTCAATTGATGATTCCTAACTCTAATGAACTGAGTCAGATGTGTTAAATAAGATTCATCCCATTTAATAGTGCCTGTATCAAAATTAAAAGTTTCTAACTTAGATAAAAGAACTCCGTGATTAATGGTGTCAAATGCTTTTTTTAAATCTAAGAAGACAGCACCAACAACCCCTCCTCGATCCAACTGTGGCTTAACTTTGTCCACGAAATAGCAATTGGCTGTTTCTGTTGAATGATTAATACGGAAGCCAAATTGATTTGGATGTAGAGAGTAGGAACTGGTATTTAAATGATTTATCATTTGTTCTGAGACAAGTTTTTCAGCCACCTTGGAAACCACCGGGAGGATACTAATAGGTCTATAGTTACAGATGGACAAACGATCACCTCCTTTGAACACAGGAAAAACTGCAGCCAACTTCCACACATTTGAAACAATCCCTGAGCAATTGAAAGGTTAACAATTTTCGTAATTGGGTATACTAATAATTCAGAGAGCTCTTTCAACATAACAGTGTTCATTCCAATGACATCTTTCGCTCGAGATGGCCTAAGACAGTGCTTCTCAAAGTCCGGACCCCGGTCCGGATCCGGACCCGGAGGGAATTCAATCCGGACCCGCCTCCATTTCGTATTTCAAGAGCCCTAATTGTGTGTAAGGGATTAAAAGTCTGGATTTCCTATTTTGATAAACGCATGTTAAAATCATTTGTTTATTTTTTATGATGGTCCAAAATTAAAACGAAGGCGAGATATTTAAAGTTTTCCTCCGTGATTTAGTTGCCATGACATCCAGTGAGCTTGTGACTTTTGACGTAATCGGGCGCGACCGCGACGCGACACTTCCCGGCGTAAGCGTTTGAATGGGTGTGGAGGATGTCATTGTCCAGGAAAAGAAAAGTTGACGAAGAAAATAGAGTTTTCAAAGATGATTGGACAGAGAGGTATGCGTACAGATATTTCAAATCTCCCGGAAGTTCCAGCAGTCTCCCGCATATTGATAGCGGCTCCTGATGCCCGCAAATTAGTTCAAATCTCTCGGAATCTAGAGCTCGCGAGCTCCAAACCGTGCAGCGCGCGTACGGCAGAGAGGGAGAGAGCGAGAGACCTTACGTGTGTGTGCAAATGCGTGTGTGTGTCTCATGAAGCGCATGTAAGCCCCCCCCCCCCCCCCCCCCCCCCCCCCCCCCGGCCAACAAAACCGAGCACCCCATAGTTTCGGACCTTTGACATTGATGAAAATTCAGATTTGGACCTTTGAATATAGACTTTGAGAACCCCTGGCCTAAGAGATCTAATCACTCGCACTACATCTGCCTCAGGAATATATTCCATGTTGAAAGCTTGCTCTGTTTGTTCGACTTGACAAGGAGTGTTCTTAGGCCCCATTTACACTGCATGGTTCAAGTGACCCAAATCCGATTTTTTCCTCTCATGTGGCACAGATCGGATATGACCCATGAACGTGTAAGCAGAAAAAAACGCATGGATTCCGATTTTCTCAGATCGGATTCAGGCCTCACTCATATGTGGCAATAAATCGGATATGAATCGGATATGTGCATTTGTGTCTGCCATGTAAGCCGACAAATCGGATATTCCCCAGTAAATGCGAGTTGTACATCATTAAAGTGACGTCAACTCAGGTGGACACCACCAGCTGAGATCACATGACTTATTATAGGCGCGATGGAGGACGAAGGATACACACAGTGGAGCAATGCGGAGGTTTCATGTCTTTTGAGTGTTTGGGGCGAAGAGACAGTGCAGGCAAAAATGCAGGGTTGTTACAGAAATAAATCCGTGTTTGAAGACATTTCACGAGATATGGGGAGGCACGGTTTTAAGTGCTCGTGGCTACAGTGCCACCGTAAGATAAAAAGCTTTATGACTTTTAAAAATATTGTGGAAAGCAAAACACTGGATAATTTTATTCGCATCTGCATCCATTGTATTTCGTGCTGTTTTACTTCCTTTTCCGGGTCAGAACGTCTACATTTGGTAGTTTCAGCAGTGTATAGTGTAAATGCAAAAATCGGATACGGGTCACTTTCAGAGCCACTGCATTAGCAGCGCCGCCGGTCGCCGTGTCTCAGGGTTTTTAGGTGTGTAAGTAAATGTTGTGATATTACTGATCATGGGAAGATTTTGCAGAGGCGCTGAAAAACATTGTAAGGGAAACACTGGCAGAGATGGTGTCAACTAGACTCTCCCCTGTGAAGGCCTCATCGACATTGGCACTGATCCTCAACAAACCCGGAGAGAGCCAGGCCGAACGGAAGAACCTGATATTGGAACCGTAGGAACTTCCTGTGAGATGGAAGGATGGATATGTGGAAGTATGCGTCTTTTATATCTATCATGACAAACCAGTCCTCGGATCTTATTTGAGGCTGATTGAGGCTCTCGAGGTGTTTTAGGTGATTTCGGGTGTTCTTCGAAATTTGTCCTCGATCCCCTGTCTGGCAGTGGGTGTCTGGCAGGGTTTGATCGAAAATGATTCTCGATGTGCGGGCGCGAATGTTGCTTGGCCACAAGCCCTTGGGGCAGACAGAGCTACATGCGTTCGGTGGAAACCAATGTGTCCCGAAGCGTACTGGACGGCGGGATACAGACACTGGCTTCCTGAGAGCTCTGAGTAGCACAGCTAGGACCTCTTTCCCGAAGCCCTCTTAGCTTGAAGGATGGTCCTCAGATCGACCTTCTTTTCAGAAGACTTCGGGCGAAAGCGTCGCCTGTGCCCCTAAGGTCCTTGAGGGGGAGCGCTCGAAGCGACGCTCTCTTTCTGTACCTGCTAGAATGAGGAGCTTGCTGACGGCTGAGGATACCCACTGGAGTCAGCCTTCTTAGATCTCGAGCGGCGAGGGAGATATTGCTTGAAGGCCGCAGACTGTTTCTTCACTAACAGCGTTGCCAAACAGGCCAGAGGGCAAAATCGGGGCATCAAGGAGAAAAGCCCTGTCTTTTTCCTTGATACCCGACAGATTTAGCCATAAATGTCTCTCCGTGACTACCATAGCTGCCATGGAGCGGCTGATGGCGCGGGCCGTCTCCTTGGTAATGCGGAGAGACAAGTCTGCGGCCCTACAAAGCTCAGCAATATCTTCTGGTGTAGGTTCCTTGCCCTCATATAGATCATAAAAATGTCAGCCTGGTATGCCTGCATAACAGTCATTGTATGCAGGCAATCAGGTGTGAATCAAACCAAAAGGACCAAACAAGCATACCGAGACCTCCTTGAAGAAGTGGTTGGACAGACCCAACTGCCTAAAGAACTGGGCTTTTTTTTGACAAAACCAGCTGCCTTAGTCAGCTGTGCTGTGCATTATGGGATGTTTGTTGACAGTTTACACTTCAGCACCTAAGCCTCATGTCAGCTCGCAGACAAACTGGAGTTGTGAGGAGGTGCAGAGACTCGTAGAAATTTGGTACAGTATTTATTCATCTTTGTTAATGTTAATTATTAACAACACAGCTGTTCATTGTTTGTTCATGTTAGTTCACAGTGCATTAACTAATGTTAAAAAATACAATATTTGATTTTAAGAATGTTGAAATTAATATTAACTAAGATTAATTACTGCTGTAGAAGTATTGCTCATTCTTAGTTCATGTTAACTAAAGTAGTTAACTAATGTAACTAATAAAACCTCATTGTAAAGTGTTACCAAAAAATAATATAAATGTTGTTCATGTGTGTTAAACAGATTTCCACCACACTCATCCACTATAAGGAAAATAAATCAGAGGACACAACTATTTTTGTTATTTAATTTTGCACATTTGCATTAATTTAGCAAAATTGATAACATATTGCAAAATGTTACCAAATAGGTGTTGCATTTATTTATTTATTTATTTGTCTGTGGCCCTGATCTTTTATTTTTATTTATTTTTATTAGAGCTTCATCAAAAACAAAAATGGTCTGTCAATCTTTCCACACACAAAATGCATCAATCAATAATTGGTTTGTTATTGAAAAAGGTTCCCCACTCCTTGTAAATGTTTTCTGCACATAAGTGCCATTTACAGAATCTCACATATTCGATGTAGTTTAGACTTTTTAAGTGGTAGTTATTAGTGATTAAGATTAATTTAAATGTGTATTTTACCAACGCAGCTTTTGTTTTCAGGACTTTTATTTTGGAGAGGAGATGTGGCGTCATAAGGTTGCGCCGCGCTCCTGCATTATGGTGTGATTCGGCTGAAGAAAGGTTTGTTTTAAGCATTTTAAAGTGTTTAAATTAATGCAAACCGTTGAATCAATTTAATATCTTTTAATATCTTTTACAGGTTATGTAAAATGAGTTAATTAATATTGAATGTAACATTATAATGAGTTATCTAACATTATTGAACGTTTTTTGTGCGAGTTAAGCAAATCCATACATGAGTAGCAGAAAAGGTGCGTTTTTTTTCGCTCCCTATATCGTGAATTAGTTTAGCATAAACATGAATCCCGCTACTTGCAAGTAGTGATGTGAGAAACGGAGCTTTTGAAACTCAAGAGTCAACTGAATCAATCAATCGCTACACAGAATGATTCACTGTGTCGACTCGATCGAATCACCTCAAACACGGATCAACACAAACAAGTAATGACAACTTTTACTAACCAGCTGCAAATATTGTAATCTTTTAAATGTAATCTACAAATAAATAAATATAGTAAAAATTATATTGTCTAAATATAAACCAACGGTGTAAATTTTGTCTGATCAGGTGATTTAAGTCCATTAACTCTCTCTGACTGACTCTCTTACCAGTGAACTGAACTACTGAACTAGATCTGATTGAGACGCTCTCAGAGATTTAGTTTGCATTTATTTTTCTTTCTGTTAATTTTTCTCATATTAAACAGGACAGAGTGTCCAAACACAGAAAAACTCCTGATGAAGCAACTGAGATCCATTATAAACATGAAGTGTATTAAAGAGGAGAGTGAAGACTTCAAGATTGAAGAAACCTTCAGTGTGAAACAAGAAGAAACGGAGGAACACACAGGTTGGTTTCATTCTCAAAGCTGAAGTCATTTGATCCTTATAAAAATGTCCAGCTCTACAGAAATGAGTGATATTTTTGAAGAGTGTCCTAATTAAAGTGGTTTTATTTGACACAGAGCGGGTCGCCTCATGTGGACAGACATGTTGAGATCACATGACCAGATAAATACTAATGCTACTTCAACCTGAGAAGATCCGACTTCCATGTTGAACATTTGTTATTGCGACGTCACGCATTAAATTAAATTGCTTTAAAACAATTATTTTGAGTAACATTAAACCCAATATCTACTTATTTTTATGTAAAGATATATTTATTGGGAATATACATAAAAGTGTGAAATATGTAAATGCTCTCGGAGTATTAGCACATTCCCTTTTCTCAGCGTAACAAGAACATAAAATAGAAAAAAAGAAAATATTAAGTAAATGAAATGCACAATTATAGAACCCTCCAACCTGAGAAGAGCCGACTTCCATGAAATTCCATTTCATTAAATAAGGCAAAATAAAACAGAAGTAGCCTAAAAACTATTATTTTGAATAACATTAAAACTAGGGCTGTTTTCGACTAAGGATTTTCATAGTCGAATCTGATTCGTTAGATTTAGCCGTAGTCGACTGATAGTCGAACCTTTTTTTTTTTTAGATTGCAGCCAGACGTTCGGTTGAATAACTGTTCGTCTGTTATAGGACAACTCGCTCTCGGCTACAGTAGAAACATGACGTCACAATATGGCGACCTTCATAGAAGGGGATTCCCGCGCCTATGTAGATATAAATGCCTCATTCTAAGGCAATAAAAACATTACGTTTATTAAGTAAGTTCTTTATACACCACTGAACACATAGTTATGGATGTCATATTGCATTTCTGTTAATAGATACTCAAAAAAGTTACACACTGCACCTTTAACAGAACTCCAATGACACTGAACTGACGTCAGCTGAATAATGACACTATTTTCTTTTTAGAGCTGCTTTACAGAAGAATTTATGTTTGCATCATTGAATAATTTTCTCGTTCATCACTGTAAAGCTTAGGGCTGGGTACCGAGTTCGGTACTTTTTAGGTACCGACCGAATTGCCTCGATACTACCGAGTATCGAAACATGTCTTGTTTTTCGGTACCACATTTCGGTACCTAAGTGGTTAATCTCGTCAACGTCAGTGAAACAATAAGCATGCAGCATGATTGGCTGTGGCGGAAAAACACTAGATTACGCGGCTGCCCAGAGACGCGGCTCGTCGCACGTGAGGCTGCAGTGTGTGTGTGTGTGTGTGTGTGTGTAAGCGTGCGTCCCAACCCAGATAGATAGATAGAAAATATGTGGAAATGATCCAAAGTGTACCTATGTCATGTGCCAGACTCGATGCCAGATGCACGCGATGCAATATTTTCGACAAGATCATTGCTGCCAAGACCGGCAACACGGTTAATCTAGGCACTGAAGCGCATAAAATACACTTGAGAGTAATGGTGTTCACATTGAACGCGAATAGAGCGTCAAATACGCGTCTATCGCGTCTAGTTCGACGCTTGAATCTTTAGCTCGAGTTCAAATTTTTCAACTTGCGCGGAAGACGTTCGCGGCAAACGCGTCGCCCAATTCGCGTCATTCGCGACGCCCGGAGCGAATGATGCGTCTATTCGAGTCTTTGCATTGACTATGTATGTAATCTACTCGCACAAATAATTAAATTCACGTTCGGTGTGAACACACCATTAGTAAACACTTGTTCATTAATAAACAATTAAAATATCTCCTTGCTATTGTTTCCACATCCATAATCATTAGGCTACTTTTGCCAGTGCTTTGCTGCAAGCTTCACGTGCAGGCATATATCCCGCCCCCCAGTAGCCTATATTTAATTTAATTCACATTTATTTGTATAGCATTTTTCACAATACATATCGTTTCAAAGCAGCTTTACAGAAAATGCATGTCTAAATTACAATTTAGAGTGATCTGTTATCAGAGGTGACAGTGTAATGCATTTCAATTAATTTTCATTCAGTTTCATCGTTAATTAATGCATTAAGTTAAAGCAGAAACAATGAGCTCATTGAAGTAAAGAATACATGTTGTTAAATGATTAGGAAACATAGAAAACTTTAGCATTGGTGCTTTTTTACATACTCAAAATATGAGTGTAAAAAAGTCAACAAACTGAAAAAAAAATTAGGTAATGTTATATTGTTAAACCTGGTTACATAAAATTGGTATCGAAAAAAGTATCGTTCAGGAACCGGTATCGAAGTCAAGGTATCGGTATCGGTACCGAACATTTTGTTACGATACCCAGCCCTAGTAAAGCTGCTTTAAAGCTATATGTGTTGTATAAAGCGCTATTTAAATCAACGTGACTTGACTTGACTATCTGTTAATTAAAAGCTGAATGTGTCTGCTCAATGCAGTATAAGCTGAACGGGAGTCGGAGCATAGACCAGCAGCAGTAGTCAGATTTCATTTATTACAAGAGCAAGGAGCTGACTGACAAGACGTTGGTGAAAGATTTGGTTTCAAAGCTAATTCTAAAAGGGCCTATTTGGCAATATTTTGGATTTGATATTTTAATATGGATGTGATGTAGCTCAGAGTTCGTGTGTGGGGGATGGAAGGAGACTCGGGGTCGGCAAGTAGTGGAGCTTGTGCACTTTATTAATGATGCTCTTTTACAGCGCTTTCTTGCGCTCTCAGAATTAACTCAAAACAAAACACTCAATTTCACATGTAAGGCAATACTCTTCCCGCTGACTACAGCTTCTCAGGTTACCGACGAGGCAGCACTCTTTCCACTGTTCACAGCTTCATAAACCTTTCGTCCCGATCGTCAGCGTGCACGAGCTTCCAGTCTCTCTCTCTCCCTCGTTATCAGCGCAGCCCGCTTATATGCGGTTTCCTCACGCCAATTACTGAAATCACAAACAGGTGTTTGTCATTTGAACTTGACCCACTTACTCACCGCTCGGCTCCGCCCTCGCTCTCCCGCTACAGACTTCGCTGAACCACGCCCCCCCCCGCCACATACCCCCCACCGCCCGTCTCAGGCCGGGGAGCTGTGACGCGTCAGTCTGTAGGGAAAAAGGGAGAGAAAAGTTAGGAGCCTTTAATAGCGGCCCGCCACACAGGGCAGCATTTATCTGGGTGAAAGCCTGCTGACACTGCTCCGTCCACTGGACGGTATCTGGTGCTTCCTTTTTAGTTAGATCAGTCAGCGGGCTAGCAAGGTCCAAATAATTAGGTTCAAACCTTCTATAATATCCTGCTAGCCCCCAGGAACTGTCTAACCTCCTTTTTGGTCTTAGGTCTTGGACAGGTCGCAACTGCTGCCGTCTTATCAATTTGGGGACGCACCTGCCCATGTCCCAAGTGAAAGCCCAGATACCTGACTTCCACGGGCCCAATCGCACACTTCTTTGGGTTGGCCGTGAGCCCCGCCCCTCGCAGCGTCCTGAGGATAGCTCGCAAGTGCTGCATATGCCGCTGCCAGTCATTACTATAGATGATAATATCATCCAAGTATGCCGCGGCATATGCAGCATGCGGCCGGAGGATTCTATCCATCAGGCGCTAAAAGGTGGCAGGTGCCCCGAACAAGCCGAAAGGAAGGGTGACAAATTGGTGTAATCCAAACGGTGTCGTGAAAGCGTTTTTTTCTTTAGTCATTGGAGACAAGGGGATCTGCCAATAACCCTTTGTTAAATCCAGTGTCGAGTAAAATCGAGCCGTACCGAGCCGATCAAGCAATTCGTCCACCTGTGGCATTGGATATGCATCAAACTTCGATACAGCATTCACCTTACGATAATCCACACAGAACCGACTGAGCCGTCAGTTTTAGGCACTAAAACTATCGGGCTCGCCCAGTCACTGTTGGATTCTAATATTACTCCCATATCCAGCATAGCCTCTAATTCAGCCTGAACTACTTTCTTTTTATGCTCAGGCAATCTATATGGCCGGCTGCGTACTACCACACCCGGTTCGGTCTCAACATGGTGCTGTATGAGGTTTGTTCGACCAGGGAGGGGCGAGAACACATCAGCAAACTCTGTCTGTAAGTTTCGAATGTCAGCGATCTGGGATGGTGAGAGGTGGTCTCCGCAAATGGCCAGAGCGGAGGATTGAGACTTTGAATTCGCCTCTGGCCCGAGATCCTCCTCCCCACTCACTACCGTCGCCAGCATCGCTGACTCCGCCTCATTCCACTTTTTTATCAGGTTGAGGTGGTAAATCTGATGTGTTCCGTCCCTATCTGATCGAAGGACCTCATAGTTGAGATCCCCGATTCGCCGTGTGACCACAAACGGTCCTTGCCACTTGGCGAGTAATTTAGAGCTGGATGTGGGAAGCAATACAAGCACTTTATCTCCCGGTGCAAATTTACGTAGTTTAGCCCCCCTGTTGTACAGCCGACTTTGTTTGTCCTGGGCCTGTAACAAATTCTCTATAGAGAGCCGCCCCAACGTGTGGAGTTTTGTTCTCAGGTCCAGGACGTATTGAATTTCGTTTTTGCTATTCGAAGGTCCGTCCTCCCAAGCTTCCCTAAGTACATCCAGCGGGGCTGGCAACCAAAGAGCAGCTCGAAAGGGGAAAACCCCGTGGAGGCTTGGGGGACCTCGCGTACAGCGAACAAGAGGGGTTCTAACCACTTATCCCAATTTTTGGCGTCTTCCTGTACGAACTTACGAATCATGGACTTCAACGTGCGATTAAATCGTTCTACCAAGCCGTCTGTTTGTGGGTGATAGACGCTGGTACGAATCGATTTAATACCCAATAATTCGTATAGTTCGCGAATTGTGCGTGACATAAACGCCGTGCCCTGATCGGTGAGAATCTCTTTCGGGATTCCCACCCGGGAGATTAATTGAAACTTTTAGCAGAAATGTTGCGAAGCGGCACTGCTTCGGGGTATCGCGTTGCATAATCCACCAGAACTAATGCAAAGCGATGCCCCCGTGCGGATCGTTCTAACGGCCCGATGAGGTCCATGGCAATCCTCTCAAAGGGGACCTCTATTAATGGAAGGGGGCACAAAGGTGCTTTTCGGTTGGCCGGTGGATTCACCAACTGACATTCACGACAAGACGCGCACCACCTGCGCACATTCTCGTGAATGCCTGGCCAGAAAAATCGGGTCATTAGGCGATTCAGTGTAGCTGCTTGCCCTAAATGCCCAGCCATCGGATTAGTGAGCCGTCTGAAAAAGCATTTCCCGGCGGCTCTTTGGAACTAACAACTGAGTTGTATCTTGTTTTGTCTGGGTATCCTGGGTCACCCGATAATGGAATCTATAGAGGATTAGTTGTGTTTTTCTTGTCGTTTGTGCTTTTCATTAAGAATAATAATGAACCCACCCTTCAAGCAATTGTCGGCCCAGAATTGGCGCTAATTCGAAAGTACACTGCGCATGGCCTCACGGGCATTCATAACGGTGTGTGTCCACTGGCGTGGAGCAGAGTGAGGATTTTTAGTTAATTCCTATGGAAGCTCAGGAATTAATTGAAAATGCTTACTCTGATCTGCACTGTTATGAATGCACCGTTGATACCGGTGTTACTGGTGTTGACACACGGCGATAAACTGGTGGGAAAATTTCTTCACCATCATATCCTAGTCTGTTATCATCGTAATGGATGGACCGGAGACTCGGGGAATGTCTTTTGAAAGGGTACATTTATCCCCGTCCGATGAGGAGGATTGCAATTTGGTGCTTTTCACTTCCAGTGCTGTGATTGGCTGTTGACAGCAAAGGTGGCACACACAGTTTGGTCCACCCTTCTTTCGCCTTCTGGAACTCACTGTCATAGTCTTAAAAGCACATGTTTGCAATGATGCAAACAGTGACTTAAATGTTTTACCAGTGCATTACTCGCATTCCAAATCACTTCCATAATACATTTGGCAGTTTCCTGAACACACAGAATTCAAACATGATGAAAAAAAAAGAGTTTGGAACGTGTCCTATAGTAAGAAAAGGGTTACAAGTATTGAGAGCATTTTCTGAACCACCTCTTTCAGTAGCTTAGTGGGTATAGGATCTAGCATACATGTGTTTGTTTTTAATGCCTTAAATTTGTATTGATGTATGTTGTTGTTGTGCCATTAAACTGGGGTTAACTTGTATTTGTCTATTTTAGATCTGATGGCACTGAAAGTGGAGAGTCAAGAACTAAATGAAATGGAAGAGAAAGATCAGTATGGGAAACATCATGATTTCACAAATGGAGAAAACTCTTTTAGTTGCTCACAGACTAAAAAGATTTCCTCACAAAAAACGAGTTTCACTGAAAAACGACACCTTAAATTCCACGTGAAAATTCATACTGGAGCAAATCGATACAGATGTAATCAGTGTGGAAAGAGTTTCACCAAAAAAAACGGCCTTAACAGGCATGTAAACATTCACACTGGAGAGAAGCCTTTTCCCTGCCAACAGTGTGGAAAGAGCTTCAATGATAGATATCACCTTAAAGGCCACATGAGAATTCACACTGGAGAGAAGCCTTTTACCTGCAAACAGTGTGGAAAGAACTTTGCTGAAAAAGGACACCTTAAAACCCACATGAATATTCACACTGGAGAGAAGCCTTTTCCCTGCCAACAGTGTGGAAAGAGCTTTGCTGAAAAAGGATACCTTAAAAAACACATGAGAATTCACACTGGAGAGAAGCCTTTTTCCTGCAAATTGTGTGGAAAGAGCTTCAATGATAGATATCACCTTAAAGGCCACATGAATATTCACACTGGAGAGAAGCCTTATACCTGCAAATTGTGTGGAAAGAGCTTCACTGATAAAGGAAACCTTAAAAAACACATGAGAATTCACACTGGAGAGAAGGCGTTCACCTGCCAACAGTGTGGAAAGAGTTTCACTCAAAAAGAACATCTTGACGGCCACATGAGAATTCACACTGGAGAGAAGCCTTTTACCTGCATATTGTGTGGAAAGAGCTTCAGTGATAAAGGAAACCTTAAAGTCCACTCTAGAATTCACAATGGAGAGAGGCCCTTCACATGTGATCAGTGTGGAAAGAGTTTCAAATATAAAATATCCCTTAATTGCCACTTGAGAATTCACTCAAGAAGTGTGGAACATTTTTCTAAACGGACACCAAAAAGGACACCTGAACCCTCTGTGGTTGACTAACACGGCAGAGCATTCTGCTGTTGTTGTTTTTCACGTAGTAAAGAAATCTATCTACAAGACTCTAACATTTATCAGACTGATCTCATGAAATGGCGTATATATGACACGCCAATTCGTATTTCCATTTTTGGCGTGCTATCAACACGCAAAATCGCTTTTCAGCGTGTTTATCAACGCCGTTGACTTAACGTACTTAACTGTATATATAAATATATGACCTACCCCAACCCCGTCCCTAAACCTACCCGTCACTGGGGTTAATACCATTTATGAGTCTTCCCCTACCATCCTAGGAAAAGAAATATCGCTCCCCAGATGTAGATCTACGTTTTGCTTCGTTTCGCTCGGACATTTAACGGCGTACACATACACGCGGAGTCACTCGGACATTTAACGGCGTAGACATACACGCAAAAGATGATGGTTCGTTTTGGCATGGACATACACGCGGATAGCTCAAAATGCGTATAGATAACACGCCACTTGACTTGAAAGTGGCGTGTATGTTTACGCAAAAGTCATGATGTCATGTTGCATTTATGGTCTTTCAGATAAAAAGGGTCTTCTTTTATTATTTTAGATTCCACTTACAGTCAAAACATAACATTGTGCTTTTGTAAAATAAAGAAAACAAACTGTGAACTGTCTCTGTGAACTTTTTTCTGTAGCGCTTCACAAAAACTAAACAAAACTCAGCGAATACTTGTCACACAGAGATGAACAATACATCTATGGAAACGGGCCCATCCGCATGGGAGGCTAAAGACCGCAGTCTCTAGGGCGCCTCTTGAGATCTGGGGCCCGTTCTTCGTACGTTGCTTAAAACATCCGAGATCAAACGAGACATCCAAGATAATATCATCGTGCTCATCATGATCCGCAACATGACATCATGACTTTGCGTAAACATACACGCCACTTTCAAGTCAAGTGGCGTGTTATCTATACGCATTTTGAGCTATCCGCGTGTATGTCCACGCCGAAACGAACCGTCATCTTTTGCGTGTATGTCTACGCCGTTAAATGTCCGAGTGACTCCGCGTGTTTGTACACGCCGTTAAATGTCCGAGTGACTCCGCGTGTATGTGTACGCCGTTAAATGTCCGAGCGAAACGAAGCAAAATGTATATCTACATCTGGGGAGCGATATTTTTTTCCCTAGGATGGTAGGGGAAGACTCATAAATGGTATTAACCCCAGTGACGGGTAGGTTTAGGGACGGGGTTGGGGTAGGTCATATATTTATATATACAGTAATATAACGTTAAGTCAACGGCGTTGATAAACACGCTGAAAAGCGATTATGCGTGTTGATAGCACGCCAAAAATGGAAATACGAATTGGCGTGTCATACATACGCCATTTCATGAGATCAGTCTGTGATCCGGCTAATTAGGTTCTTCGAACACACCTGCCGGTTATGATTAGTATCGCTGGATTGGGTTATCTGAGATAATTGTGCGTTAATGCGCTGGTTTAAATGAAGAGCCTAAACGTAAGTTAGGGAGGAGCGAGCCCATCCAATCTTTCAATCAACAAACAGAGTATATAAGCAGCCGCTTACCTCTCCCTAGTATCAGCTGTTCCAGTATCCCTCCACCTCCCCAAACTCCACCTTCATCTTAGGTACCTTGCCCTTTAATTAACAGGTCCTACATTTAGCCACTGGGGGGTATATCAGAGCTCGAGTTGAAGCTGCTTCATCGAGCCCCTCTCCAGCGGACAGCAAGCCAAATAAGTTTAACCTAATATCTTAAAGATTTTATGGGCAAACGAACTCGTTAAAAGGGGATATGTATCGATAGTAGAAACATTGATCAGCAACGCTGCTATTGGCTGCTCACCGTGGCCAAAGAGCGCGCTCAGTTTTTCACCGCAGCAGAGCAAGAGTTATTGCTAGAAGGATATTCTGAATTTGAAAACTTAATTAAAACGCCAGGGAACACCTCAAAGTGTGCAAAAGCCAGGAGAGAGGGCTGGCAAAAATAGCAGACAAATTAAGTTTGTAGTGACCATGTTAGATGTTTTTATCACTAATTACAGTATATATTTTAAAATTTTAATAATTTCTAAATAATTAAAAACTTTGTTCATTGTAATGTCAGTCACCACCCACTACTAGAACATGGGAACAAGTAAACATGTGCAGTTTGTGCAGTTTTAAACAATACATCAACACTTTTACCTGTTCCCAAGCAAGTGGTGGCTGAAGCATGTGAAGTAATTGGACTTTTTCTAACGTTACATCAAAAGGGAAGAAAGTACAACACTTTGTAATGCCCATTTTTTTCCCCAATGCACAGGACAGTGAAGAAACCCTCTCAGGTATCTTTAAGTGCATAAATAACTTTTCTTAATTTACACTTTACCTATTATTTCTGAATGCAATATGAGTTGCAGGAGTCCACATCTACAGAAGAGTCTGCACAAAGCAGTGATACAGAGGTGGGCAGTGTTGTACTTTTCCTTTTCATTTTTGATGCATAAGCCATGTGTTGACAGGTTTACCCATACCCCTAGAAAACAGAGTATTTTGAAAATACTTGACAACTTAAAGAACAAAAAGAAACTGGCATTAGAGATGAGTTGCTTCATAGGAACTTCAGAGTAAGTTCTAATATATTATTTCACACAGAGTACTATTGCTTACTTTGCATAATATCTCTTATTGCAGGCAAAAGATTACTATCACTGGCTTTTCTTTTACAAAGAACAATTAAAATAAAACTCAAAGAACTGTCTTGTCTTTTATTAAACATTAATGAAATGTTTTATATTTTTTCTGATGGTGCAATGTTGTGTAATATGGCCCATGCAATGTCACAGGCCCTGTCAGGTGCAACCCTCAGACTTTTCAGACACTTTAGTTGGTTAAAGTTCACTTCATTGTGTGCCCTTGTCCTGTCTAGAGTGGCCTTGTAACTGGTCTGGGGTTTGGGTCAGGGAATGGGGTCATAAAACACATGTCTCCAAGCAGGATCCTGTTGTAAGCACCTGTATAATGGAAAAATTCAGTTCTATTAGGATAAGCAAAAGTGTATGTAATACAGTGAGCTTGATATTTATATTTTTCCTTACCACGTTCAAATAATGTGCATAAATCTCTGAATCTTCAGTATTTATTTGTGAGCCATATTTGTTATATGGAACATAGTCACACACCATCTAAGAGATTTTAGTCTGTCAACTGCCTTTTTAAAATTTGATATAATATTACTAATCTGGATAAAAATCGCAATAGTAACTTGCCTGCACTGTTATTAAAGCCCGACTCCGACAAGTCGAACATTTATGCGTTTCCATCAAATTAATGATGTAAATGACATCCTCACGAGTCATGAGAAAAATTATATCTCTCAAAAAGTACACTATCGCGCTTCGCTAAAAGACTCACCTCCGCTTATAAAGCCGTGATCTAATCCTGTTAACATGAAATAAGCCTGCTCGCGAGCAGGTTCAAGCTTGCGCACCTGTTGCTATGACAGCAAGTCCAGGATGAGGGTCGAAGAACCAAACAATCCAAGATCATGCCAAATCGCCAACAATTAAATCCAGCTAAGTGAGTTAACGACATACGAAGAACGGGCCCCTGGCGAGTGAGTTTTACACACACAGCTCTCACTAGCCTACGTCTGTTACACTCAACCCCCTAAACCTAACTCCCATACGGGTCACGGCACCACTGTAGCCCCTCCAGTTCGCACCGCCCGCTCTATGTCAGACTCAAAGCTGGGCCCATCCTCATGGGAGGCGGGCACTCTAACTAGGAGGCTAAAGACTGAGAGATCAGGGGAGTGAGGTTTACATGCACAGCGACTACTGTCCTATGTCTGTTACATATAAGTGTGAGTAGCGTGAGAGGCAAGTCCTCATGGGGCGAGTTAACTGAGAAAATGTACAGGACAAAAATATTTCATACCAGTCATTAAACAGAGTAAGCATTATTTCCATTAAAAAAATATATATTTGGGATTATGAGATCAGTATTATTTAGCTATAAGTAACAAACAATGTTCACTAGCTGCATCAACGAGTCTTATTCTCTGTTAAAATCCAACGGTAACTAAGAATCATGGAAAGTTTGTTCCTCACATGTATGTTGTGGGTCTTAATGTGAAGAACATCCACACGTGTTGCTGCTACATGAAGTTCAGGAGATTAAACACTTGTTCTAGATCAGGGGTGCCCAAACTTTTTCCTATGAAGGGCCAAAAATCAAACTTGATTGAGGGCCGTGGGCCAAAAGTAAATTTTGCATCATAAATCAAACTGTATTACATTAAAGTTGCTATGGGTTTATTTATTTCATAATATTTAAAATAAATATAAAACAACTTTAATCTGATTAACTAATGCAGTTTTATTTGTAAAGTTTTGCATTTTAATGAACTTATTACAAAAAAACCAACAATCCCCAAGATGTGAACTTGTGTTTCAGTTCTGAATCAGACTGAAGCTCAATTAGTTCCATCTGAAGATCATCTCTGACTGTATCCACACTGATGGTGAAGGGTTCAGCAAACAACTCAAAGTCAGCAGTGCTGTGTCTGAAGTCCTCAAAGTGACTGTCAAACTCCTGGATAAGGTTGCGGAGAACAGCATCATACTCATGGACCTTCTCTTTCACCATGCCTACCTCTCCAAGACAAGGAAAATGGGCTAAATTTCCTGCATGTGGGATGAGAAACAGAAAGAACAGTGTGATACTGGGACAGGCATGTAAAACAGAGGGAGAAAAAATAGAATAAAAAGAGGAAATTATTATTTCATGACAATTTAAGAAACTAGCAAATTTTATCAGCTTGATGTACAACAAAAATATAAATGCTGACATGACTGAATATAAATGTAAACTCCACATATAATTCTAAATATAATTAAAAATAATACAATTATAATTGCACAAAATATCCTGAATATTATAACTGTAAATGTTACTGCTACCTGCTGAGAGATGTCTTCTGAGCAGCAGTAGTTTTTGTTTGAAGGCTCTGACGTGATCAAAAAGCTGGGTGATAATCTGGTCCTTTCCCTGGAGCTGAACATTCAAAATATTGAGCATCTCT